TCAGATGATAGTAGTCCCTATAACGCAGGGTGGGCTTGAGATAAAATTATTTGATATATATTCTTCTATACAATGACTCTCTGAAGTGCTCAATATTTTTTTCTGTTATTGTTATTATCCATGAGAGACTGCCCATTGGAGACACCAGATGCCCTTGATTGGCAAAGACATAATTCTCTTGGACTCAACCAATCATCTGTTTCTCTAATGGAAAATAAATATTTCTTTTGAAAACTCTTTAGTAGTGATAAAAGAATGGGGTAGACTCATGTGTGCTTCTAAGCAACATCAATCAAACTTGCAGCCAAGTTTTGATTACAAGATCTTTTTTTCTGGCAATGATGTAAAAATTAGAAAAAGCACAGCTGGATTTTCAGCACTAGGTGGATACCACAAGTTCTGGAAATTGGAAAAAGCACCTTCTAACTTGGAAATAGTGGTSATTTGTCTGGAGAAGTTAGAGGGAAAATAAATACAAGCCTTACCCTAACCCGAACTCCTCATGCTACCAGTGGCAGAATGAGTAAGAAGTCAGAGAGTGAGGCTGCCCAGCTAGCAACCCTGCCCAAAGGCTGAACTTAGCAAAAACCAAACAGGGTAGTGAATGACTTGCTGGGTGACTGATTTGAATCTCTGTTTTTCTCACTTGGGGCATATTTTCACTAGCATGGGAAGAAGTAGACGGTTTACCAGCCTGACTGCATATAAAAAAAAATGAGGCAGGGGATTTGGTCCAATAGGCTTGGAAATCTACGTTTTTAAATAGCACCTATGGGATTCTGATGGGACTGGTTAACAAATTTCACTTGCAAACCATTGGTCTAAAGGTTGAGGTATTTTTGCTGCAACTTGAAACTTTGGAATCTATTCTTGATTTTGCTGGTACTTGCTGGCTAGGTGATATTGGGGAGCTCACCTACTTGGTTACCAATGTGCAGTTTCCTGCCCTTAAAATGAGATATTTTAGCTTCCCTTGTTTCACTGGGATTAAGAATGTGTTACCCAAAAGATACTTGGAGTGAGCTTTCAGAAAAGTCTTGGAATCTCTGTCCTGGTAAGGGCCTGTCTTGCACTGGCCTCATACACACACCAAAATCTTCAAGATGCAAAGCCATTTACTTTATACCTTTAAAGAAACTCTTGGCTCCTGACTTATACATATTATCTAAGGGATTGGGCCACTGTGAATGAACCATGGTTTTTCCACTAATGATCTTAAGAGGGTCAGAGACCAGTTTTCAACATCACCAAATTGGAAGCAACACGAAGGCAGCTGTAGCATTGCTGGAGATCTAAATAGGGCCATGGTTGCATCCTGGTCAGTTGGGGCTGCTATGGCAGAATACCATGGAGTAGGTGGTTTAAACAATGAGCATTTATTTCTTATAGGTCTAGAGACCAAAAAGGCCAGGATCAAGGTGCTGGCGGACCCCTTACTTGAGGGCACTTTTTCTAATTCGCAATATCCATCTTTTTCTGTGCCCTCTCAGGACAGAGTGCAGAAGGCAAGCTCTTGTGTCTCTTCTAGGAGAACTAGTCCCATCTTCATGCCCCCCACCCAAAGAACTCTCCTCCTAGTACCATCACCTTTGGGTTTGAATTTTACCACATGAGTTGGGGAGTTTGGGGGGGGGGGCACAAACACTTGGTCCAAAGTTCTGAGTAGCTGAAGAATATCAATGGTGTGATTTAGATTTCAGTCTCCTTCAGCAGCTGCAGAAGGAAATCAAACCTCCTGAAACCGGAACCATCTAAGACACTCTGATTTCCTGATATGGTCAAAATGGCCAGAATAAGCCCTGGCACTCATGCACCAAGCTCCATATCATGAGTCTCAAGACTGAGACCTTAAGAATCAGCAGGTGGGCACCAAGCAGAATGAAACAGCCCTTGCTATTGGACCTTGAGGAACCAATTAGATGCCTTGGAAGAAGACTGAGGATAGGACCTACAGAGCACCCCTCAAGTGGAGAGAGGTAGAAGCTGTTGGAGAGATGTTGGTACAAGACCATCCTCTTCACAAGGGGGTTAGAAACTATGAGGAAGGAGACTCCATGAAATTGAGGGGGCATAGCAACAACTGTGGAAAGGAAACTGGATTTTCTAAGGAATCAGAAAACTCCTCTCAGCCTCTTCTCTTTTCCTCCCAGGTGTCCTCTCTCTGGCCCAGAGACCCCAGGGTGAATTGTGGTGCTCCTCTTTCTACCATGTAAGAGTCTCCCTCCAGTCTTGCCAGTGGTTTCAGCACAGGGCCTGTCACATGGTCTGGGTACCACCCAAAACACCCAAACTCACTCTTCCCCATCCAAGCTTGATCTGTCTGCCCTCACCCCTGAGGTTATTAAACTGGCAAAGAAATATATAAAATTGGCATTCTTGAATGGTTCCTCACTCTGGGCAAGGAAAAGAAGGACTATTTCCATGGTTGAAGTGTTCCAACCAATTCAGAGAAAAATATCACATGAAGTAAAAATATTATCATCCTGGCCAAGCAAGGGTTTTCCTTTATAACCATGCTGACATGCAGGGATTTTACAGCCTCGTCTCTCCCCTGGTGACAGCGGTATTGCCTGCTCTCTCCAGATGGGGGATGTCAATTCAGCAGAGGTAGGGGAAGGATTTCATCTGGGGGAGGTGGTAGAAAGGAGAGAGTCCCTGGGAGAGTTTAAACTCTGTAGTGTGAAGGAAGAGCAAATATCCAGTTTAGGAGAGGGACAGAGGGAATCTTATTACAGTGAAAAGAATTGCAAACCCCTCACTGAAAATAGATTTGAGCAGACATTTTAAAATGACACCTTCCTTGAGAGAAAGAAGCCATTTTTAAAGAATACATAGTGTTCTGTTTCATTTGTATAGAGCTCAGGAGCAAGAAAACCTAATCCATGCTGCAGAAGCGTATTGCAGAATACTGTGTGCTGCGGGTGTTGGGGGGATGCTACAGGGAGAATTCTAAGGGGCTGAAAATGTTCTGTATCTTGACCTGAGCCATGGTTACCCACCTGTATTCACATGTAAAAATTCCTCAATCTGTATACTAAGATGGGGGTGTTTTTCTCTATGTCATTTATCATTCAGTTCAATTTTTTAAAATGAATCTTCTTTTGCCACATGTATGGATATAGCCTTGGGACAAAGAATATCTGGAAGGTTCAACAGGATGGGGATGCTATTAATAACCTCAGCAAACCATAGAGCAAGGTGGGAATGGCCCCATCCTGACACAGCGAGGGACCCTGGGCTTCATCAGCCAACAGACCTAGGTCCACATCCTGCCTTAAGGTTTTACAATGGGTCTTTGAGTAACCTTTGTTTCTCTCAGTCTCAGTTGTCTTCTCTAAAATGTGGATAATAACATGTACCTTTAAGTATTCTTTGGGGGATTCAAATAAGTAATGTTCATAGATCTTTTCCCAAACAAGGGAAATACAGACGAAAATGCTATTTGTTATTAACAGTAGATACATGTTGACATGGACTACAGTGCTTAAGAACCCCAGTCATAAATCATATATATAAACTAAAATATTCCTGAAAACAAGGGGAAGGCTTTAAATAACTAGTGATAAATAAAATACTCCACTTATTTCTAAGTAAATACTATTAAAATATCCAACTTTTAAAACATTTCATTATTAAAATTATTTGAAATCAAATGCATTCTGTGATATGTGATCTTGAAAAAGGAACTTAACATCCCTCTATGTGTTTCTGTCTATAAAATGGGTATTAGAAACACCATTTTATCTGAAGTGTTTTTATGATTCAGTTTATGTGATGTGTCTTACAATGGGTCTGATGCTGTTAATTTCGGTTCAATGATCAATTTCACTAATATTTATTTAAAGTCAAATACAAGCCAGATATTATTTTAGTTCCCCCCCCCAAAAAAAAAAAACAAGAATAAGACACAGCTTCTGCCCTCTGGAAGCCTCTAATTTAGTGGGAAAGACTGGCAAGTGGACATTCATAAGCCCATATTGGTGTGAGAGATGGGCATACGGGGAACAGCTGACAGGTATAAGTTACAAGCATGAATTGAGGGTGCACATATTTAAATTTAAAACGACACTAAAAACTAGCACTTCAAGGCTACCATGTGGTTGAGAAAGCCAATGGCCACAGGGTTATTTATATTTTAGGATCACCAGCTTATCTATAACCAGTAGTGTTCTGAATCGGGTGGATATGTTAAAACAGGAAAACTAGAAAGCACCTCCAAACTGCAGTGAGTCAGAAGCAAAGTGGAACAGAATTTGTGGTGATGAGAACCCTAATTCTTTGGATTCCCATCTACCTCCGACACTGTCTGGTTGGAGGCCATGTCTGTGCGTGGGAAGGAGGGGTGCTTCCTCCAGGACTGCATTGAGTTGTATCTGTTTTGGGGAATCTGATGAAAGGTTCAGCCCCTTTCCAAGGAAAACTGGACTTGAAAGCAATCAGAGCAGCTGCAGTAATGTTGGGAGGTTAGTCCCTCCAAAGGCAAGGTGGGGTCTCTTCTAAAACCATACTCATCTTGCTGCACCTTCTCTCTTCTCTGAAGAGATAAACATTTTGGCAACTTCAGCAATTATGTCACCATTCCAGCACTGATGATCCCCACTTCATGTCTGATTCGTCCCCTGAGAGTGTGTGTGATAACCTCTTCTGTATTCCACATTTTCTGGCATTCCCCAGGGTACTTAGATGTGAGAATTCTCCAAATGAACATCTCAAAGAAACCCCAGCTATAGGCAATCTAGATGCTGCACTAGTTACCCAACTTCCATGAGAGTAATACATCTAGTGTCACTCTGCAACACCTACTCCCACTGCTAATCCATGAATGTCACTATTTTAGCCTTTTGACTTTGAGACTGGACTGGTGTGGTGGGACATTTGGCTGGCCAGGACCATGTGCCCCTGCCTGTTTGCTAATGCTTGGCTCATATTGCTGAGGATCCAGTTTTCCCACGACTCCTTGAAGGGATTCTTATAGGCTGTTTTGCTTCATGTCTCTTCAGCAAGTTCCTGAAGATACAGTGCCTGGAAAGTGGACTGTGGGAACAAGCCAGCTGTACCCCGGTAGTGTGTGAGCCTCCTGCTCCTGTTTTTGAAGGCATGTACGAATGCAGTGATGGATTCAACCTGGACAGCCAGTGTGTGCTCAACTGTAACCAGGAAAGTGCGAAGGTAATGAAGGATCCTTGAACTTGGTTTTGAATGAGGCTATAATCTGATCTTGATGACCATGACAAAAAATGTTGAGCAGAAATTATCCCAACAAAGATTCTTCTATCCCAGAAAGGACCAACAGACAGGGCCTTACTAATTGGGATTACAACCAAGGGTGTTGATATTATTCACAAGGGGATAGAAGATACCATGTTTTTGGAACATTCTTTTCCAAGTTCAGAACTTCCTCTGGAATAAGAAGAAAAACCTGATGAGTAAGGCACCAGGGGACATTCCAAACAGTTCTGGGATCCTCATTTGGTAATGCAGGCTCATCTCATGCATGGCCACTGACATAACTTGGCTAGGAATGCTAGCTTATATGTTTTTTAGCAGAACAGAGTCCTGAACAGAAACACAAATTCCTCGGCAAAGCTCAAAGTGTTGTTTGACTATTATCCTCCCTAGGATTTTGGCACAAGAGGTCTCAAATGAAAACCACAGTCTTATCGTGGTTGTGTGACTAAAATCAATTTTGTCTTAGAATCTTTTCAAGCACCACACACATCCATGAGACAGGAAGTCGAGCAGACTTCCTAGGCAAAGATCAATGGCTTGGCTCCTTTGGCACATGTCTTTAAGTTGGTGTCCAGCACTTGAAGGTAAGCACTGCAGAACAGATGTGCAATGAATAGGCCACAAACGAAGACTCCGAGAAATCCAACACATCTGTGTACATGGACTGGTATGGAGCCAAGGAGGCAGCCAGAGAAAGGAGAGTTATCTACATTTCTAAAACCTTATTTTCTTGGGTTTATTAGTTAGTGCTCCTCTTTCTGTTCTAGGTAGGGCATTCTTTGTAACTATTGAGGGTGAGAAGCTGAGGGCTCCACAGTCAGTACATGCACAGAGGAAAGGAAGACAGCAAAGACTACTGTGATGTTTTCGTTCTAGTAGATAGGCCAAAGCATACCTCCAGGGAAATCATGAATTACATTCACTGGATGATGCTCATCTTGAAGGAAATGTGACATTTGCCACAACCAGCATTTATGTGATAGTAGGGATGATCAATGCCAAAAACCCTACTTGGAAAAATTCYCCAAAGTATCTCAGAATACATGGGCTACAATCAAGAGCTCATCATATCCTGATATCCAAAGGGGAAAACATTATTGGTAAGTTTCATTAATGGCAAAATTGTCTAAGACTCCTTCACATGATTTGTATTCACTGCTTTCAACACACTTCATTGTCTCAATAGCATCTCTTAGTCCAGGTTCTAGAAGTTGAAGGACATCATCATTTAATCAGACCCCTTTCCCCGATTCTGAATAAAGTAAATAGTAATAAAGATGTTCTTTGCCTTTGGTGTCCTAGCTCCCCATCCTCTGTACCAAAGAAGGACTGTGGACCCAGGAGTTTAAGTTGTGTGAGAACCTGCAAGGGGAATGCCCACCACCCCCCTCGGAGCTGAATTTCGTGGAGTACAAGTGTGAAAATGGATACGGGATTGGTAAGGATGGGAAGGGAGATGGAGGGTGTTCCCAAGTCATCATCTTATTGGGCCTGGCAGGAGCAGATGCCCTGTTCCCCTGAGTAGTGGATGGAAATGCAAACTGAGTGTTAACTGCTTCTTGGGTTTGTTAGTGCTCCTAACTAACTAACAAAATTCATGGCAAATTTGTTCTTTTTACTCTTCCATTTGTGTATAACATTGGTATAGCCACCAAGATGGTCATGCTACCCACTCTGCTGCAGGACTGAAAGTGGATGTATTTGTGGCAGGATTTGTAATTCCAAGAGGAAAGGAGGATGGCCACATCCACACATGTGCTGGACTCCTACATTCTTACTATGGAGAGTTCGTGATGGGGAATTATTTGTGATTGTACTTGCCTGGCTTGCTCATCATTACACCTCAATGGGGATTAGGCTCCAGAGCCTGTGGGCAACTTCTTATTTAAGTACTTGCAATTAAGGGTCTTAGAGGCCAGAGCTCACTTATAGTAATGTTGACCCAACTTTGTCCTGAATGGCCCTAAACATCATAAAAGAGAGTCATGTTTGGTATGAAACCTTGTAAGATCAATCCTAGATTCTAAATTGCAAAAAGAAATTCTGTAGGGCAAATGAAAGGGCATTTTAACCTGTGTAATGCCAATAAAGATCATTTGAGTTCATCAGAAACCTCATTAGTTTCTGAAAGGGCTCTTTACCATTTCAAGGCGCTGTTGGCACTGTAGCGTCTGTGGTCAGGCCTGGAGTACAGGAAGCTTGACATGTCTCTTGCGTCTTCATGAGCAGACTCATCTTCAAAGCTTCTGATTTCTGCATTAAGATATCACATACTCACTCCAAAGTCCTAAGAAGTGATGTGATTTGTTATTACCATAACAGTAACTTAAAAACAGAAACATGGAGCTGGCAAGAAACTTAGAGATCATCAGACCTATCTATGAGGAATCAGAAACCCTGAATGTGTTTCCTTGAATAGAATTTTAGGAGCTACTTGGACCCCACATGCAAGGGAATACAGAAAGATTTTCCTTTGAGAGACCAGCACATGATCAAAATCTCTGCTTCTGATTTTTCCTTGCTTCCTCCTTTAATCACATAGGGTTCCTGGCTGCCAATTTCATGATCTTCAGTGTAGCAACTGACAGGATATTCCCTGGAGTAATTTCATAATTTCTGGGTCATGTTTTTCCCAGCTAATCAAGTTCTCCGATGGTAGTTTCTGCAGTTGTTAATTTACCAGGAGACCATACAGCAGGAACGATAGGAAACATACTTCAAGGTATCGGATAATCAAGATTGAGTTTGGCCAGCTAAAATCCTGGAGTGCGAACTTGGACATCAGCTGGGCCAGGAATTAAGCCTTAATTTCTGGGCCATGGAGAAATTCAGAATCCTAGAAGAGAGGGCATATTGGTCCAAGCAGAGAAGGGTCACTTGGTGCAATGAGAGTTACCTTATGACCATGGCTGTTTACAGTGAGTGTGGATGAGTATCAGGCCTGTCTGTAGCAACTATAATATGCAGACCCACCATGGAGAAAGCAGTTGCTCCTAGAAAATCAAAGCTGCTGATTGCAAGATGAAAGAGACCGAGATCAGGAAGTTGAGTCTTTGTTGTCAACTTGTGTTCCTACAGGTGCAGTTTGCACCCCATCATGCGTAATCCCCCCCAGCGATCCTGTGACGCTGCCGGAGAACATCACTGCTGACACTCTGGAGTACTGGATGGAGCCTGTCAGAGTCCAGGTGAGAAAAGGGATGTTCTGATGTGCCAAAGACGTGAGGCTACTAAGTGGCCCTCAACTGACAGAATGCTCCCTGCGGGCACTTAGAGGTTTTCAAAGCAACCTTGAAGCAAACAACCATGTGGATCATTCATAGAGATAAGGATAAAGTGCCAAGTAGAAACAGGAACAAAGCTTGAGAAGAAAGTGGTCCGTCTAAAGGAAGATTAAAGGATGAGAATCTATAAGAAAGAGATAGAAAAGGCTAAGCGAGCATTAAGTGGGACGATCTTGTAAGCTCATCTGTTCTTAAGATGGGAGGATAGGGATATTAGAAACCTGGGAGTTTGGATGCTTCATGTATGGGACTGCTTTAGCATGACAGTGGTATTCCTATAGAATCACCAAAATATGCACTCCAGACACATACGTTCCACTCCCAACTCCCCTTTTTGTTCTCAACTCCCCTTTTTCATCACTGGCTAGTTGGGCTTTATTGTTGGCAGAGACTTGAGTTAAACCAGAAGATCAGGGAAAACATTCTCTAAGTGTGATTTGGGATGAGAGGTGGAGAATAGCTCAGCCCTATCATTTCTATTAGTTCTTTATTCAATAAAAGTTTTTTAAGCCTCACTCTGTGCCATGAAACTGTGCTAGGTGCTAGGAGAAGATGAAACATGGTAGTCTGTCTGTTTGGAGGACTTACAATCTGGCCTTGGAATCAGATGTTTACGATTGTGCCACATGGGGAATGGTTCCTTTGTGGACTTGCTATGGGAACACCTGAGAGGAAGCAACTGACTCTTCTGCCCCAGAGCCAGGTGGAATTGTGGAAGGATAAACTGCAGAAGGTTTCCCTCTGAGTCTTTAACCATGATCCAGAGGAAATTGCTAGAGGGTAAAGAATAGTGAGAAGTTCCCTGTGGCTGAAACAAGGTATGTGTGATAGGGGAGATGGAGGGGAAGGATGAGATGAGGGAGAGATAGGCCAACAAGGTCCTGCAGGGCTTCTGAGAACTCCTCCAGAGGAGAGGGAGCAAGCCACATGCCTGAGGGCAGTGTGCAGGCTGCTCGGGAGTAGAAAGGAAGGCCAGAGAAGCCCCTGGGCGGCTCCCCTACCTGGCCTTCTAGACCTTGTCCACTCCATACGTGTGCATAGGTGTGGCTGAGCTGTGGTGGTTAGAGGCGTGGTGCCCTGGATAGCACCACACCTCACGTTCTGTGGTGCACAGCAGGGTCTTGGCTCTCTCTTCTGGTCCATGAACCCTGTTTCCTATGACAAAGACTTCTCTGTCAACAGCCAGATGGGGAGAGGCTTGGACAGGTGAGAGCTTTTCTTCCTTTGGGGATACAAACTGCTGCAGAAATCCTTCCACTACTCTTTCACTGTCTACCCCACAAGACACAGATAGGAGCCRTCCATGGGTGGGCACAGGGTTAGTGTGGCCTGAATTCAAGTGTCCCAGAAAGTGCGGCTCCTTCACCTCTGCTTTACAACTGAACATGCAGAAGAAGATGGTTCATTTGTCTTCCTGAAAACAGCAGAAATGCCAAGTATAGAGACTGCCATTTCTAAACTGTAAAACAATTTTCTCTATTTTACGAAAGCCTCCCTTGTCAACCTATCCTATAAGTGAGTTATTATCATAATTATTATTATTCTTTACTGTGATCCCATAGTATTTTGTTTGTGTTTGTATTCCTAGAGCTTTTTTTCAGTGCCTGGTACTGTATAAGTGTCTTATCAGCATTGGCAGAATGAGCAAAAGAAATTGTTGTGGTACCATTGTTTTTTTCTACTTCAGAAGTAAATGTGTATTTTCTCTTCAAACTGAGTGTAGCTTCTTACTCACCAGCTTCTTACTCCTGTGTAATTATATCCTTGTCTAGTTTCCTACCCCAGGAAGAATATGTAGCATATTTATTTCTCTTCCAGCAAGTACATGAAACATTTTCATTTGTATTATTGCATTGGTGACGACTCTTGTCTACACTGTCAACTCTTGGTTTGCACATTCATTGTCCATAGCATCAGAGAAACACTATAAGCCTTGAAATGAAAAATGTATTTGTTAAAAAATGAGTTTTTCAGGGCTGGGTTGTGGTTCAGCAGTAGAGTACTCACCTAGCATGGGTGTGGCACTAGGTACCATCCTTAGCACCACATTAAAATAAAATAAAGTTATTGTGTCTAACTACAACTAAAACAAAATATATTTTAAAAAATGAGTTTCTCTTTACAATCTCTGTTTTCTACGAACTGCATAGCCTCAGGCAGCTTGCTTTCCTGTTCTCAATCTCCTTTCCTCAGTTGTAAGTGGAGACACCTATTTCCTTGGGTTAGCATGAGTCAGGGAGAAGTGTATGGGTAGAATTTAATTTCTTGGTGTGTAACCGTCCTTCTGGATGGGTTTCCCTTTTTACCTGAGGCAGGTTGCTCCCCTCACTTATGCCCACCTCTTCTCACCTGTGATGATACTGCCCTGCTCTGTATGGTTTAGGGATACCCCTAAACCACATGGCTGGTCACAGTTTGCAATTTTGTGAGGGGCACAATTACTTCAGTGGGAACTCTTTAGATGCATGTTGTATTTCTATGTGAAAACAAAGTGAAGTAAATGAGCTGTTTCCAACATTGTCAGGGGAAAAGTGAGGTAACTCAAAAGCAACGTTTTCCAAACCTTGTAAGAGTCATTTATTCCTGAAAACAACCAGAAGTCATAATTTCAAAGGCTTAAAATGTAATTAACATTTTATGTGTTCCTGAACCCCAATCAATATCCCTTATGGCAAAATAAAATCAAATAACTAATATTAGCAGTTAACAGGAATTGTCAGTGTGCTTACTGACACCTGTGCTTGCTCAGCTTTTGTGTAGATAACACAGTGAGGAGTCTTGCTCAAAGCTTGCAGGGATGCTCTGCCTTTAGGAAGTTGAAACTATCATTTAAAAAAATAAGGAAATGAAGTTAATAGAAGCAGTAAAAATGATGACAACACCATTGCCCTTATGTACCTCAGGTCTTCTAGGACCAGACTCTGAACAACTATGAATGATCTCATGGTCTCCTTTTGAGGCACTTAGTGACACACGAGGGATATTCAGGCTAACCCTGTCTTCATAAATAGGAAGAAATGTTTCCTAAACCAAAGCAATTGTGTTAAGTAAATTTACTCAAACTGAGTAAAATCCTTCCAATTCAAATAGACTCGTGTTGCAAGTCACTCCATATTGTACTCAAAACTTAAATTTTTGTGTCCTTAAGAATCATTTGTGCAGTGTGTAAGAGTAGTATAGCTTCCACCCTCCAGGAAGACTGGGAATGCCTTGGAATAGGGATCTTTAACAAGCATCCCAGGTAATTCCTCTGTAACACTTCAAGGAACCCTACTGTCACAAAATGAGATACTGGCAACGTGAACAGCTTAAGGTGCAAGCACACCTATGTGGTGCGTGGTTCCTTTGTTTAGCAAGTGATGCTTACCTATGTCACAAGCAAGTGATGCTTACCATCTGCCATATTTCAAATACTTCATATCTGGCAAGACTACAGAGCATGGATTAAATCGCATCATTGTCTATTCTACTTCCAATGACTTCATTCTTTGTAATAAAAAAAATGATACCTCACATTTGGTTAACACTTTATTGTCTTCAGAGTTGTGTGTGTGTGTGTGTGTGTGTGGATGTGTGGATGTGTGTGTATAATTTCGTTTGAATCTTGTCACAAACTATTATCTAGGACAGGAGATTTTATTATCTTTATTTTACATAAACATTAGGCAGATCCTTGAATGATGTGTCCAAGATTTGAGAGCTAGCAAGAAATGGAAAAAGAAATGTCATCATCTTTTCTGACTCCTAGTTCAGTGTGATATCCCCTGAATTACCCTGTTAGTTGTGGTCTTTTTTTTTTTTTCTCCTTCCAATGGTGCCTGAATCCTAGAATTTTATATATCTATATAAATAATTAAAGGAAGTATTTCTGAGAGCTTAAGTATTATGGAGTTTCAATGAAAAATAGCTCAAACTAGAAAATGACATAAAAGAAAGAATAAGGTCCTTCTGGGTTCAAATACAATGTGACCTACTCTTTAAAGCCTCATATACTCAACCCAAGGGTAAAAGAAATATTATCTATCTTGCAGTATTACTATAAAACTTTAAAATAACACATGAAATATCTTGGAAAGATTTTAGCACACATTTATTAAGTTAGAAAGATATTTGGTTAATTTATTACAAATTTTATCCATGGACATATCCTCCATCTCTGTAAAGATATCACCACCTAACTGTATGAGAAAGAAAAATATTCTATCGTTTGTTTGTGTCTGTGTGTGTGTGTGTGTGTGTGTGTGTGTGTGGACAATGCCTAGATCATTTCTCTTTATTCAGTCCCTTTGACAACTGAGCTTGCAAGAAAGAGAATTAATCCATTATTCACCATTTCCAATTGGATTGCCTGGGACTCGAGAAGCAATTTCTAAAAGGTTTTGTTGTGAGACTGAGAGGGATAAAAATATGCTGTTACTTTTAAGTGTTTCAAGGGTGTGCTGGCTGTGAGAGACAACAATCAAGTTGGAGGTTCCCAAATGATTTCTGGGCCTTTGTTATTGTAACGTTGTCTTCTTCCTTCTCCTGTTAAACACGGGGATCTAGACCTTTCTGTGACATCTGCTTCCCTGCTCTGCTTAGCTGCTGGGCTCCTGATAGTCTGGAATTGAAGGTGTGGGAGAAGCTTCTCTCAGACTGCTATTGAGAGTACTTTATGATTATCTTATCCCTATTTTTTCATTCTTGATTTTTTTCTTCTGTTTGTTATTCTAATCCTGGCTAAACTGTGAGGTTCTTCAGGGCAGCACGACATCTCATCCTGCATCCCCAGGTCTCCTTGGTGTCTGACCATACCCCATGCTGCTCAGAGCATGAAGCCAAAAAGCTCAGAGAAGAGAATGGCTCCTGCTGAGCCATTTCTCAAGGAAAACCTTTTGGTCATTCCAAAGACCTGTGTAAGGTTGGACTTTTATGACTCTCCTTACCCACTGTGTCAAGAGAGTCTTTTATTATATCTTGTGACTAAAACAGGAAAATTAATATTTCAACTTTCAAAGTAGTGGTCTTTCAGGAAACTGATTTTATGGGGAGATTTTTTTTAACATAATGTGGCAATTGTTTGCATGTAAGTGAGTTTTCTTAAACTATATTTTAAAGTGTTTCCTTCAGAAGTTCAAAGGTTTCTATCATAACATCTTACTTTCTCCGTTATTTTGCTTTAAAATGCTTTTTAAAACAGATTTAAAATGCTTTTCTTTTCTTTTTTTAGTACTATGGTAAGTATAAGTTAGTGAGGTCCAAATTAATGAGGCTTCTGGTGGTGGCACAGGACCACCCCCTGGTTGCTCAGTCATATCAGATCTCACAGTTTCTGACTGTGTGTTCCCAAATTTGTCCCCAAGAATCAGTAGTCCTTTAAATGAAAAACAGAATGGTTTAATGAGAAGAGAGAACAAGCAGTAGCTTCCCACAAAGTGGTCTCACAGTCCCTCCTGATTCTGAAGGTTCAACCCTGACCCCAGAATGTCCTGTTGGTGGTACAACCCTGTGTTACAGCTGCAGTGACACTGCTACAAATTGGTGTAGACTCAGGCATGGTGACATTCCAGGTCTCTTTCTTCATCTATTCTGAGCGTGAATTTGTTCCCTGTAGGGATTGAGGGTCTCATCACTAGGGAAGAGAGCAAGAGAGTCTTGGGGTCGGGGAGAGGAACCAAAGCAAATTGGTTTTGTCCAAATAAACATGCAAAACAATGCTGTTTTATTTAAGGAGCCATACATATACAGCAAGGAGGACATTGTCACAAACCTGGGTGGTAGCAGAACTTTGTGGCCTGCTGTGATCAGCAGCCCCTTCTGCCAAGCAATTATCACCAGTTAAAAAGATAATAATAACTGGGTGTTTTCTGTTGGCTACTAGCAGTTTCTTACCCTTTAACAAGAAATCAACCAGGCAACAGCCTAACATAGCCTAAGGCCATCCGAATGACCCCTCTGCTAAGTAGAAGTGATTTTCTTTGTATTTCAAAGCAGATTTCACTGGAACTCTATGTAGCAGTGGTTGAGGCTTTTGCTATTTAAAGTATAGGTGTTTGATATTTGTTTGCTGTCTTCACTTAGTGGTGATGGCAAAACACAGTAACTTGTCCCTTGAAAGGCTATGGCAACTTGAGGCCTTCTTTTCTGCTACCTTCACTAGGGGTCATTTCTACTTAGCATAGCAATTGTTTATATGCAGATGTTTCTGTTTGAATGACTCCATTTGCAGGAAAATAGCATTTTCTTCAGTAGTTTGAACACCCCTGTTGTGTTTACTTTGTATATCTGCTTTAATAATCCTTTTTTATTGAATTGATAACTTAAGTCAAATCACCTTCTAATAATATAGTTTTGGACATCAAACTTTTTGGATATTTATTCTATTTATTTCCCTCTTTAAGGAATCTGTGAAAGAAGAATTTTAGTTTGCAGTAGCAATGACTCCAGAAAAATATTATAGATTACCAATCTCATAACCGACCATAAGTATATATTCATATTTTTGCATATTAATATATATGAATATCTCCAATCAGATTATTGAACAGCATTCTGGATGTATAATTTCACCCCCAATTGGTGGAAGTACTATGTAAAGCTTCTCCCTCACCTTGTACTGTTTTTCTTCCAATCATACTGAATTCTTATTGCATTGAAGTAAAACGTGAGAATGAGTGTCTGCCGGTGGGCAGGTTGGTAAGGAGGCTCCAGAGAGAAACTGTATTTCTCTCTAAAACCTATTATGGAACTTTCTCTTTTCCTGCAGWGTATCCTTTGAAATTTTAAAATATAAATATTGAAAGGAAAAGACTCATTGAAAATGGAATTAGACTTAACAAAGAACAGATGACCATTAGCTCACCTGTGTTACTGGTGTTTCAGTATGGAAGTGTTCATGTTCCCACCCGATTCAAGGTGGTGCCATTTTGAGTTCTGGTGACTTCACATTAGCTTATTTACCCACTTTGTGTGGACATGATTCTGTTTCCTAGAAGGAAGAATTACATAGTGCTAACAAGAGTTGCAGAGAATGCTGTTTGGCCTCTGGTCCTGGCTTTACACACATACACAGCACAATCAAGGAATTCTGAGATCCATTGTGCTAGTCTATTTTCTGATGCTATTCCAAAATACCTGAGGCTGGGTACTTTACAAAGTGAGGAGGATTTTGGGCTTATGATTTGGGTGGTCAGGGAGGGCCTCCTGGCTGCATCACAAATAGCAGTTGGCATCATAGCAGGAGAATTCTGGAGAAGGAGAGAAAATGGTGAGAGATTCAAGGGCCAGTCTTGCTCTTTTTATAATTCATTCTGCTGGGAACTAAGTAGAGAAGTGGAGTCCCAGAGAACTGTGTTCATCCCTCATGAATGGACCCCCATCAGGCTCCACCTCCTAAAGAATCTTTCGCTCCACACCCCCAAGCCTACAGCACCTGAGCTGTGGGCACACCTCCAAGCCAACCGGGACCATCACATACACTGTAGTTAAAGACTTCTATTAGTCAGTGTTGGAAAACCCGTGGTGCTGCTTCATCAAGACAACTACCTTATCATTTTTTATAATGTTTAAAATTTCAAAACAAATGCAATCAGTAGTGTGCCTAAGGACAAATTGAGCTAATTATAATATTGAAGGTGATTTTTGAACCACACTCTGGACATTTGGAGAGGGAGGAGAGATCATCTCCATCAAGAATTTCTACCTTACTCTATCCAGCAGGCTTAACAGGAAGGGCTGGCAGCCTGGGTCCTCTCTAGGGGCACAGTCAGGCTCTTGCTACTTAAGAGATGGAGTTGGACTGGTGGGCTAGCTCAGGATCCCCTCCCTCATAGACCAGGAGTCTCTGTTCATGTTACTGTTTTTTCCTCCTTCCTCTTTAGAGTATCGTGTGTACTGGCCGCCGTCAATGGCACCCAGACCCCTTGCTGGTCCACTGCATCCAGTCCTGTGAGGTAAGTCAGCCTCTTCTTCCCCAAACCCAGCTGAAGAGCTGGGGTCTGTAGGATTCACTGAGTCCCTCTAGCTCAGGATCCTGTCCCCCACCCCACTCCTCTGCCCTTTATTTAGTTTCTTTAATGTATTTGCCTTTGCAATTCCAAACTTACAGGAATTAGGATTTCTGTAATCCTAATTTTTGTTTTAGCCAAATCTTGGAGTTCCATTTTAAATGGCTTAATAAAAACAAGTTAAAAAGCAGGTCATAATTTCTGATATGTTCGTGATTCTAACTAGATCGTGTTGCAGCTTAATTAGATCAGGATTTTGCAGACAAAGGGCCCACAGACAGTTTTGTTGAGCCAGCACAGTGTCTAAAACCAATTTTGTTTTGGTTGCCAAAGTTTAAAAATTGAGATTTTTACATAAAATTCTTATGTACATATGTAGCCTCTCTCTCTCTCTCTCTCTCTCTCTCTCTCTCTCTCTCACACACACACACACACACACACACACACACACAAACACACAAAAAAATAAATAAATAAATAAATAACATTCTTTGTGCAAGATTTTTCTCATATAGAACAAGATCATCCAGCAATCATGGCAGCAACTAGCTGGATCTGCATAGCATCCACTACCCCAGAGTGCAGTCCTTCCCCACCCCACCACCATGTCCACATACCGGGGGCTTCCCTCAACACTTCATTGCTTTCATCTCAGGGGACCCAGGGTTGTGGCCTCTTGGGTGGACCTGTAACCCACTGTTGAGTTGTCCACACTGGATCATTGCTCCCTTTGGGAGTCCCGTCTATGTCTTCACACAGTGGATTCCTACAGTGGTGTGCTTCAGGGGCTGTGAATTCCTCAGCTAGGATAACTGCAGCTAACCTAACAATGAAGGGTCAAGAATGGGGCAGAGCCTTGCAGAGGAGGGTGACAGAGAAGGGAGACACTCCCCACTTAAGCCCTCCTACCCTAGGAGAAATACAAATATTGTATTCTACAGGTTTTGTCATTCAGTCTACTCTCTGGAAGAAAATGAGTCACTTGGTAGCCATGCCACTCCTGGTGTGCTAGAGAGAGCCGTTTAGCTGCCCTCGATTTCCAACATCCTCCCCGAACCCACCCAGGCCATGTGCACGATAATCCCTCTATTCTTCTGTATCTGTGTCCCTTGATCTAATTCTGGGAAACTGCGATGCACTTGAAGCCAGAGAGGGGAAAGGGTGGGGTTTTAGAGAAAAGAGAAAACTGGGTGGGGAAATGATACCCATAAAATAGCGTTCTGAGAAGCATCGGGAAATGCTAGCGTGGAGTGCGCTTCATTACAGCGCAGGCCAACAAAACAGCTCATCCTGGGCTATCATTAGGAAAACACATGGCAGAGGGGTGGGGAGGCAGAAAGGGGAGTGAATCATCCACTGGGCAGGGGGAAGGGGCAGAGGAGGCCAAGGAAGGAGGAGATAAACAGACAGAGGCCTTGTGGAGCTGGGAAGAGATCAAAGGGAACCTGAGAATTCTCTTTTGCTGGTTCCACAGGGGATCAGGGGATCGCAAGTGGGAGCAGGGATGGCAGGCCTGGAGCTGGCCCTGGTGGTTCCCAGGGTACAGTACAATGCTTTCCCCGCTGTCCTGCCCTCCCTGGACCCAGCACACCCTCCTGATCCACAGCCAGGGCTTCCTGGGCTGCTGCAGTCCCTCTGTCAGATGTGACAAGGAACAGACCTCCCTTCCTCTGTCATCTCCCTGTCCCACTTCCATCACGCACAGCTGATCCTTGACCTTCTGAAAGCTGCTAGTTTCTACAAGGACTGGCCCCTTCAGCACCTCCTGGGAACTTGTTAGAAATGCCCATTCCAGGCCTGCCCAGCCCTGCTGAAGCAAACACTGTGTGCAGGGGGCCCAGCAGTCTGGTTTACCAGGCAAGCCCTCCCTCCAGGGGATTTGGAACCACCACCCTGACCACTGAAGTTTCCCAGCTTGTATATTCCTATTCTGGAGCTTTCTTTGTCCAGGAATAATTCCAACCAACATTATTTACATTCTGATTATCCTACACTGTTCTGATTATTTCACAGTATCATTCCCAGATTCTCTGGGTAGGGCAAGATTTTAAAAAAACTAGTTATTGTATTCTGTTCCTTCAAGCAAAGGCTGAGAATAAGAAAGCCCACAAAGAGGGAGGAAGGAAGATAGAAAGAAAAGGAAAATCTAAACTCAAAGGAAAGGGAAGGGAACCAGACAGGGTGGGGGAAGGAGAGACAACTGCAAAAATTAGCAGAAAGACATGCAGAGAGAGAGAGGGGGTGGGCATGGAAAAGAAGGGAGAGAGCTGAGGCTGTTGTCCTTTAGGGTCAACCTAGCTGATAATTCATTCTTTACTAGAAAAAGTCAGTTTAATATGTAAGGGTCAAAGACAGTCAGAGGAAAAATGGACCCAGAGACAGGAGAAAGCACAGAGGGCCTAGGGGTGGGAGGAGTGTCAAAAATGCAGGGTGGAACACTTTGCTACCCAGTGTCTAGAGGGGATTCCTGTTTTGCTTTCTTGTCCTGAATATAATTCTAAGATGTCCCCTTTAGCCACTCAGCCTTGAAAAAGAAGAGTGCTTTCTTTGTTATTTTTTTCCCAACAAGCCCAGGGCAATAAGCCTTCTCCCTGTCCCAGCCCACAGCTCGCCTGGTGCCTCTTCTGCGCCTTGTTTGTGTCATCTCTCTCTTGCCGCAGGGCTGTCTTCAATTCTCCACTATTCTTTGCTTCTTGCATTCTTTAAGAGGCACCTTCAGGGTGTCCTCTAAAAAAGTCTGGCTGGAATAATTTTGTCTCCTTATTGTCACTGTGTCCCCACTGTTCCAGCAAGAACATGTGGACACACGCATCTGCAACCCAAACTTGTTCATACATTAAATTCGATTGTTCTAGTTGCTTCTCACATTTGACCTTCTTGACATGAAGACTTTCATTTTCTGCTTCATGTATAAGTTTTTTTGTTTTTTTGTTTTTTTAGTTTTGTTTTCGGCGGACACAACATCTTTGTTTGTATGTGGTGCTGAGGATCGAACCCGGGCTGCACGCATGCCAAGCTAGCGCGCTACCACTTGAGCCACATCCCCAGCCCCTTCATGTATAAGTTAAAAATGGACAAGGGATATCAACTTGGTCAGAGAAAGGGCCAAACAAATCTAGATTCCAATCCTGGGTCTGTGAGCTTCAATGTTGTGTCTCTCCTGGGAAGTGGGTGAAGGAAGCTGCTCCAGGAAGTCCCTGGGAGGGATTGAGGTGATAGTGAACGTGGAACAGTGTCACGCCTGGCTGTAGCACACTCTTAGGCCTGGAGTCTTCTCGCGAGTTACTGGCTGCTGTGGGAATGTTCCCTGAATAAGTGAAGCAGAGAGCAGGGCCACTGTTGCTGATGTGGCTTTAATATGATCAGGTGCATATTCAGAGGATGGGGAAAGGGAAAGAAAAGAAAGAAGGGAAATGGGACATTCCCATTGAGACCTGTTGGGATCTGTAACTCACAAATCACTTGGAGACAGTTTGCTGTCCTGCCTGGTGGGCTGCCAGGCCTGTTGGTGACCAGAGCATGATCTGCCTAGCTCTACTCATTCCTGCTCTTGCCCTCCCTACTTGAGGTGGTCACATTCTCTGGGCTGTGGCAGTTGGTTCCTCATTCTTCTGCCTGCCCCAGATCTGTGCCAAGCAGCTGCCTGCAGAGTGTCTTTTCCTATCACTGGGCTCTTAAGATTGTGTCTCTCTTTCATGAAAAGAAAAAAAAAAACAAGAAAGAAAGAAAAATTATCAGAAACTCCTTTTCTCTCTTGTCCCCCTTGTTTTCACATTTCTGTCACTAGTCAGTGTGTAGGTAGCACGGGACCTTTGTATTTTCAAATCCCACGTGCATTCTTGACTCCAGACAGGAAAAGCCTTTGACCATACAATAGTGATAAGTGTGTGGCTTCACCCTCTGGGTCCTCCTGGTGTGGTGTGCATGATGGTTCCACCGGAACCATCCGGGGCAAGTTACTTTACCTCCTTGTGCCTAACTACTCTCCATGTTTTTATAGGGTTTGTAAAACTGTTTAATAGTAATGCCCACCTCATACAGCTTTTGTGAGGATAAATGAGGTATCAGAGGCAGTAAACTCAGCCTAAGGTCCTGTGCACAAAAATGCAGAATGAATATTATCTCCCTCTATTAGCTTTGGTGTTGCCCATGTTATTTCATGCCCTGTATCTTTGTATATATTGAGTTGTATTCCTGACCCACCCCATGTTTCTATAAGCCAGTAATTCACAATCAAGGGCAGTTCTGCCCCCCTTCCCCTCACCAGGAGGCATTTGGAATATCTGAAGTTATTTTTAGTTGTCATGCTTAGGAGAGTAGCAGGAGTTAGTGACCTCTTGGGGGGTAGGATATGCTGCTGAACACCCTGTGGGGCACAGGACAGCCCCACAAGGCAGAACTCTCCTGCCCCAGATGTCAGAGCTACCATTGTTATGATGCCTTGATGCATTTTCCTGACCTCTCTCTTCTGGGACTCTTTGCTGTCTAGCACCCACCCAGTACTTGCCCACCCCATCTGAGCTATGTCGATGTGCTCTGCTCTTTATTTTACTGTTTATCACCCTGGGGGAAGTATTGGTTTTGGTGGGTCTGCCTCACACACCGTGGCTACCTACCTACAAGTTGGAGTCAGTGTGTGGAGTAGCTAAAGTCCAACGTTGTCAGAATCAGCCGAGGTTCCAGAAACATTCATTGATTGAAAATACCATTTCATTTACAAATTGCTTGTAAAATTGTATATACAAATATTCTATGATAACTGTTTAGAAAAATAGTGCTTATTCCATCCAATGATTGTCCATCAACATATACTCTATTCCCAGCATAAAGAGAGAAAGAAGGAATACTGTAACATCAGATAGAAAAGTATTTTAAAATAACGTTATTCTCTGTGTGTGTGTCTCCTTCCTTCTTTCCTTCCCTTCCTCCCTCCCTTTCTTTCCACC